CCCCCCCCCCCAAAGCACCCCCCCCCCCCCCCAAGCCTGGTATCGGTCCGCGAAACGCCACGTTAGAGATGTCTCTTTGCCAGGACAGACCCCACCCGAGTCCGCTCGATCGGGTTCCGCTAGGGGCAGCCCTAGCCCAAAGACACCCGGTCGGTCCGACACTGTTTTCACACAGTGCACACGATCGACTTTCTCAGGAGTTGGGATAGTAAATTTACGTCCTAACATCTTCCCCCACCCATACCGTGGAAGCGTTGGACGCCCTTTAAGAGGATTTCTACAGTGGGTTTCCACGACGTAACTAATTTGCGAAGTAGCTGGGACGAAACGGTTGCCTTGGAGCAGCTTCTCAGGAATGCACATTAAAAATCATCGGCTAGAGCAGTGGTTCTTAACCTTTTTGGAAGTACCGAACCCCACCAGTTTCATATGCGCATTCGCCGAATCCTTCTTAATAGGAAAAATAAAATATGATTTTTTTTTCTGATTTTTTGGGGGGACCTCTGCCGAACCCTTGAGACTGACTCACCGAACCCCTGGGGTTCGATCGAAGCCAGGTTAAGAACCATTGGGCTAGAGGTTACCACCTTCACTTCTCACCTCATATCCATACAACGGCGAGAGGAGCTTGATTTATTACTAAGCGTTAATTTAAAAAAAATAAAAAAAATTAAATATGTTGAATACAATACACAATCCTTTCAACATATTCAAGTCAGCGATTTTTGTATATAGGCTATTGGGTTTAAAGACACATAACTTTAGAAACTTGGTAGACAGTTTAAGGGGTATTTTTTGTTAATATATTATGCTAAATGCAGTGGATCTTCTCAATTGCACGTTACGAAGTATATTCTCTTATTTATTTGTAGTTAAATTGTCTTATTGGGAGCAAAGACAGAGGTGGCCATTGGCCGTCCCTTTTTTTTCCACATGTTCATACCAATGATAACTTGAACTGCATGTCTCTAGCTGGTTAACCCAGTGTTATCATGCATTGAGTCCATAGCTAAGCCAGTGAGTCACTCGACTCCAACAATCAAAAATCAAAGTAAAAATTTATATCAATATTTTGATTTTTTTTTTTTTTAATTTTAAAAAAGTGGGTTTTTTTTTGTTCTTTTTTTTTTTTTTTTTTTTTGTTTTTTTTTTTTTGTTTTTTTTTTTTTTTTTTTTATGTGTTTTTATGGGTTGGTTATTTATAATTTTATTGCTAATGAATGAGACAAAATTTCTCTAGGATTAACTTAAAGCCTCGAAACTAGGACTACCGGTATGCCTTAGCTCAGTTGCACAATTTACCTTTCAAAGTTAGGAGGATCCCTGAGTGACCTATTTTTAAATTGTCTATACCCGGACCTTCATTAACATGTTATAACAATATGTCGATACAATATCTTTCATATTTTAATCAGGGTAACATCTTTTTTTTGTTGCCTCCACCAATATTAAATTATTATCCCTTGAAATCTCAAGAAATGAAACTATCAGATGTTGATCATTGATATGAAGAGACACCCAATTCTACCAACCAAAAAAAAAAAAAAAATTGTTTGATGCTGTCGGATTGAGTAACCCTCCCTTACTTTTAACAAAATACAGCTCAAGTTAAGGCTACTACTCAAGCCTTGATCATCTTCCCGTACCAAGAACCAACAATAATATAATTTTATATATATATATATATATATATAAACCTCAATAGCCTCCAACCCCCCCCCCCACACACTTTTTTCCTTCCGCACCCGCTGAGGTAGGTCCAGGCCACTGACTATGGCGGCCCGTACTTCTCTAAATTGTCGGCCCGCGGAAGGGGAATATGCAATGGAAACCGCGGACATTTCTGATGCAGTGGGGACACCTTTCTGTTGGTCAATCCCGTTTTAAAATTTGGATGAGTTCGTGACCGTAGTTCATGTATACAGGAGCAAGATGAATTTGGGGATCAATGGCCGTAGTGGTTACACGACACATGACATGTCTAAGACGATAGCTCAGCAGTTCAAAATCTCTCTAACGGCATTTTAACAACTCCATTGAGAACATTTTATAGCATTCAACATGGCACACACAAAAAAAAACACAAAAAACAACAACTGCAGTTGGTCCAAAATGCGTACGCCCCCTTCGCCACATTTCCTACGCCACTGCATTCACCCCAGACATATTGATAAATGCAAAATACGCCCAGTTCAAAATACGGTGTACAATGGTGAAATGTCACATTAAGAAATGGCGTCAGCGGGCCTTCGAGCCAATGCTCTTTATGCCCTCCCCAAAGCATCCCCCCCCACCCCCAAGCCTGGTATCGGTCCGCGAAACGCCACGTTAGAGATGTCTCTTTGCCAGGACAGACCCCACCCGAGTCCGCTCGATCGGGTTCCGCTAGGGGCAGCCCTAGCTTTCCGATCTTAATTTTTTTGTCTATATTTGCTTTTTTTTTTTAAATCCAATCAATCCGGGGGGGGGGGCAAGTGCCCCCCCCCCTGCCCCTACCTGCGGGCGCCCATGGGTACCGACATTTTGTTCGGAGCTACATTTAATAAAATATGGTGTAAGTGTCCAAAATTGCGTAAAAAACAACAACAACCCCTTAATCGACCAAATGAAATAGTTAACATGACTTAAATATTGTAGCAATAAGAGATTCACCAGCAGTTCCAAATAAGCAGTGACTATCGGAGGCGAAGCTAAGATGGGCAGAGTGGGGACAGATGTACCCGGGCGCCAGACTAGTTAGAGGCGCAAAAAATGGGATTTGATACTATTTTATAGATGAGAATTGTGAGTTTCAGAGTTGGTAAAGGAGGGGGAGGGATGAATCTTGTCCCTCTGGCGCCAAAACACTCTACGACTCGAGCTACGCCCTGGTCAATATAGGCGTAACCTCGACTGAATGTCACCCGGGGAGAACTCCCCAAACGAAGTCCCGATACACACACACAATTTTTAATGGTATATTAAGTTATGTTGAACATTATAATGGTATATGGAACGTCTTGACTAAGTCTTGGATGTAATAGCCAAGGACGAGAGATTGATGCTGTCGGATTGAGTAACCCTCCCTTACTTTTAACAAAATACAGCTCAAGTTAAGGCTACTACTCAAGCCTTGATCATCTTCACGTACCAAGAACCAACAATAATATAATGTTATATATATATATATATATATAAACCTCAATAGCCTCCAACCCCCCCCCCCACACACTTTTTTCCTTCCGCACCCGCTGAGGTAGGTCCAGGCCACTGACTATGGCGGTGGGGGGGGGGGGGGGGGGGGGGGGAAGGAGTTATCATTAGGCACATCATGTCGTTTTGGTTTTAAAACTTTAAATTAAATCATTGATTGAAA